TCGTACAAGAGATCTTGAATGCGGCGAGATGATGTGAGTATCGTATTTCATGCGAGTTTCAGTTCTTTTTGCATTGCAGCTGTATCCAAACTCCGTCGTGATTGTGCGGTCAATGTTAAGCTCTACGACCAGGGATCAGGCGTACATAAACGCGATTACTGCAATGTTCGTACAAAACGTTTATGTTACAGACATCAGTTGGATAACGTCAAGCATGTTTTCGTAGATGACGCTTGGCATTTATTAACTGCTTAGCCATTTGGACATCGTCAGTTGACGGGCGAAAACGTTTGGTCGAATACCGGTAACGGTAACGCCATTTGAACGATTGTTTCTGAACAGGGTTGAAAATGATCGTGAGTGATAAGTGAGTGGTTTTCAAATTCGCGACGATGCGTGAGAATATTTGGTCGATAGTTGTTTATGAAATCTAGCTAAGAATCGTTCTCCACTTTAAACGACGTTAAACAACATTGCCATGCCCTACTGTGCATGTGTGGGCGTTAGTCTTTTTAAAAAAATGATTCTCATCACCCACTCAACTTCGTCATACGTCTTTTTCAGACAACTTCATTCCGCAACTTCGTTCGGCACGCCGCATGTGACAGTGCTGTTGTTTCTGTAGAACTACGTAGTTACTGTAGAACGTACGTTTTGCAGATCGCGTTTGTTCGACTGTCATTCGTGCTTCAGCGCATTCGAAACCCACTGCATAATGTGAATACCTTAGTGTACAACTTTGTTGGGATTAATGGGATTTTGTTGCTTGTCGCAACCTCTTCCACTAACCTCAGTTGTAGTGCTTTGTAACGATATTGGTCTTTTCTCAACTTCTGCCATATCTTTTTGCCAGACGCAGTGTAGACGTCCAATTTTCGTTCGGCCTTCAGCGGGCCTCTCTTAGCCATTAACCGCTTTGTCAAAGTGCTGATTTGCTGGTTTATCGTCGACATTGCCGCCAGGTTCCTTGTTCAGGTTCGTATGACAGCTTTGATAATATCAATATAGTAGCCATACTTTTTTTTGGTTCTGTATCCATGTTCGTACTTGTATCTCTGCCCTTGTTGGTACTCTTTTCGCTGTTCACTAGCAGCTGTTTGTCCGGCAAAACTTGCGATTCAATTGCTCCTCCACCCCTCGGCGATCTTTAAGCTCTAAAAGAAAAAGTTGGAAAGCGACAGTTTGACAACAATAATAAAGAAAACAGTTTACTGATCTTCCTTCGTAACTGAACGGGATCATCATTTCCTACTCTCGTTCACGCTCGCCTGTCTCGTGATTTGTCACCACAGCCTTCGTTGTTTCTTTTACCTTACTGTCCCGTTTGAGCCGAAGTTTTTCAGTTGGACGTTTGCAGTCCCCTGACGTGGGGAGGGCGGAGTATCGACCTTTCACTGCCAATGTGCGATATACTCCTCCATTATTGACTGAAGCTGCCGATAATACCTGCAGGGTACTAGAGCGGTAGGGGTATAATTTTTGTTTCTGCTTTCCGATGTATTCGGTTTTTGGCAGAAGCTCTTGGTTACCGTCCGCACCTGTCAGGCTTATTGGACAAGACGCCGGTTTGCCTTTCATTCCAGTCGAATGGGGCTACAGATGACGATTGGCCCGTTTGGAGGTTTTCTTCATCGAGTTTGAATTCCGCTACATCTCCAACAGACGGCATAAACGGAATTCAGAATTATTAACAGTAGAAAAAAACGAGATCTATTTGACGTTATGCATCGTCAGGTCATGTGTGTTATCTATCTGTAGATGTAGTAGTCCCCGGGGATGCGCGTCCAGTCAGCGGTAGTCGACTTTCGATATGTCTCCTTCCTGGCATAAGTGATTTTGTGAGAAGTCTGATGGCGCGATGCGCGCAGGCACTATGTCAAACTGTCGTGCAAGCCAGAAGCTCAGTTGCTGAATCGACAACAGGCAGTGTCAAGTGATTTTGGTGGGATCTATGCAGGAAACATGCCTCCCATCAAACCTGAAGCACGTTGTCTGATTGGTTGCATATTAACGACGGATTTGGCCAGGTAGATGTGCTTTTGCTTTTGCTGTTTATTCATCAACATATTTTCATTGACTTTCTTCTCTGAGACACGAATGTCTCATTTAAGAGGGAAGGTGCAGTTCAAGACATCTGGCTAGATGTTTTGCTTATCTGGAGTACGCATACAATATTGTCCAGGTCAGTAGTAAGGCGAGCGGGCTCTGTCACCTGACCGCTTCCGAAAGCCGGCCTCTACCTTGTCTCCCGCTAGTTCATAGTTATGGGGAACGGACCAGACTCGGCCACGAGTCGAACACAGAGTAGAAATCGTAGAGGAAGTCGGCCAATTTCGTTATCTCGGCGCAGTTATCTCTAGGTGAAAACTTTGCGATCTTTGCTACTAAATCCCCGTCAATCCGTTGTCTTCGGTCTTGGCCTGTATCCCTATTGGATTTCCTGTAGCGACCTTTCAAAGATGATTTTTATTTCCAGCGATTCATGCATTCAGATTTTTCTAGTGGTCCCGGTGTTCCTGGAATCGGTCTTGCGCCCAAGCGCCATTCTCCTGGATTCAGAGACGCGCGTAGCCAGCTGCTCAGAGTAATCGAGCCATTTGGCCGTTGGTTTGCCCCGTGGCCGCCTAACATGTTAAACTTGTTGATAGGCTCGAGTTTATCTTATGGGTCTCCCTGTGTGGAATAGCCTGATGACACGTACTAACCTCGTTATCGCTCGATCCATCGATCCCTCGTTGGTTACGGGGCGACTGACAAGAGAGGGTGGTTCCATCGAACTTTTTTCACAGCTTATCGATTCTCGCCATTTTAACTTATCTGTCCTTCGAAAAAAACGTTCTTTCCGCTGTTAGTTTCCGGTATCGCGTTGCTGCGGTAAGTATCCAGCGTTCACAACGACGAGTGACGGAAGAGGTTCACACAGCCTTAAAGCATACGGTTTCGCACTGCTGTTCCACTGGTTATTCCTGGTTATTCCTGCCCTCGCTCGACCGCGTCTCGTGTGCATTTTCGATTCCTGTCTGCTGTCATTCACTCGTCGCTGATAGCCGACTTATCCAAATTCTCTACCCGCATCTCTCCTGTTACTCTTTACACACTGGATGAACAAATTGAGCTACTTTGTGGAAAATATAAAATTGCACGTTGTCGCACGCGCCTGACAGTTTACAAACTGACATGAAGAAGAAACTAGCGCGAAGGGATCATGTGCAGCATCAGTCACTGGAATATCTGCGTGTACGATGTTTTGTATGGCGAAGCTGCGCCCGTTGATTCAGCGCGCAGAAATTGTGTTGTGAATATTAAACGATGCGCACGTTTGGATTGTTTTCCTTCCATTAATTCGGACACTGATCTCGCAGCATCATCAGGAAAACGTAAGCCTCATTCGCATAGCTCCAGCCTGTCTCGCTTACCTGGCAAAGAGCAACGGTATGGTCTAGCGTGTTGCGGCCGGGCCGTAAGCCATATCGCACGTCGTGAATTTTTCTGCTCTCTCATTTGTTTGCATCCCCTTTGCAAGCATTGTGTAAATCGCGCCGGATAAGCTAAGCCGGTGGTTGTTTCAGCATGAGCACAACTGCGTCTTATCGTCAGCGCTTGGCGCTTTCGCTGAGGGCCGATCGAACGAGCCACAGCCAGAGGTCACCTGCAGAATATCATGGCGATTTTAGGCTTTGTACATCCATCACAGGTCGCATTTCGACTTACGACCGT